ACACACACACACACACACACACACACACACACACACACAGTCTCTAGTGAGCATGTGCCATTAGTAGCTGGAAGGGCCTGGTTTGACAGAGAGCGATTAGCTCCCTATCATGTGTATTGATCACTGTGTCCTGGCTGCTCATCCAGAGGAGGGGCTGGAGGGGTATAACAAGGCAGTAGGGACACACACACACACACACACACACACACACACACACACACACAGACACACACACACACACACACACGCACTGACACTCTTGTTTATCATTGTGTATGTACATGTGTTGGAGATCCTTGTGAATGGATTGGGTTTAGGAACAGTTTAACTAATTGTTCCTGGGCACTGTTGTGCTCTACATGTTGGGAAAACATCTTGAAATTATAGAAACAGGATAACGGGATGAGCTGAGCACTAGAGACCTGTAGGCTGTGTGAGATGTGGGAATGCTCGTGTGTCAGGGTGTAACAGTTAACTGACATTAACTACCTCACAGTGACTGCATCTACAGTGGCCTGACAATTAAGCAGCCCCACAAAATATTCAATATCTTGATTTCGATGTTTTTTTTTAAACAACAGGTTCACTTTTGTATAATGAAAGGCTTTTCAGTGGTAGGTTGTGAACGCATACAGTCACACTGTGTACAACACAAGTTCGTATAAAACCATTTTGCTACTGTAATAGACATGTGCATTGTATGTCAAATGTTGAAAGATTGCATTCAGTGAAACTGTCTGTAGCAACTCTGAAGTCTTGCTGGTGTGCACTAACTGGATGATGCTGCTTTGGGAAACCGCTTGTGTTATGATGGCATGGTTGCATTTTTGTGAATGTACTGAAGAAATTCACCTTTTCTTCAAAGGTAAACTGTTGCTTATTATGTTGCATTACTGTTGCAGAGATTTTAGAAGTACCACCTGTGGTGCTATAAAGTATACTGCCTGTAAAGGCTTTTTTAGGAAATGTACTGTGAATTTACACATTTTTTGTTTTTACATTTGTGTAATCCAAGTATTACATTGAGCCTATTATGTTTAAAATCATCTTAAATGATAAATGAATATGCTCTGCCTATAACAAACATTGATTTGATTAAATTTGCAGACCTGTATACATATCACATCTTTTTCCTGCCCTAGGTCTTCTGTTTAATAATAATTATCACACGTAGCGTCCTTAGCTTTAACAGCTGTCTTCTTTGGGTAGTTTAGACCAGCTCCTAGCTTTTGTTAATTGAGTCTAATTGAAGAACATGAAGGGGGAATAAAGCCAGCAGGCTTTTAGGACATTAAAGACCGTAGCCGCCTCTCAATCGTATTTATTTTCAACCTCTTCCACTCTGATTTAAGTGTAAGAGGACAATAGTGGGCTGACAGTGATATGTGTGTTTGTGTGTGTGTGTCTGTGATCTGTTGTTTGATTTACTGCGCCCACCTTCACAAGGACCGGCCTCTTATCAGATCAAAGCTGCAAGCAGCGGCCTATGAAAGAAATTGTGTATGTGTGCGTGCATGTGTGCCGCGGAGGACAGAGGTGTAGGTGAGGTGGGGGTGTTTTTGTTGCTTTTAACCCAGGACACCAGGACAATGGCACTGCAAAGCAGAGAGCAAGCGAGCACTCTTTGAACTAATGAAGAGGAAACCTTTTACTCTCCTCCATAAAGATGCGCAGCTCTCCCTGTGCTATGGATTTTTCCCTCGCTTTCTGAGTAGAATGAAACTAAATAGAACAAACTATTTTATCTGTTTCACACCTTTCACAATTTTGTTTTTATCCTCGTAAATCCACAGTACCAGACAAAAAGCCATATAAAGCAAAGCTGAAATTGAACACTTTTGGAACAATAGTACATGAACGTCTTTAGTTTAGCCAAGGTGTGGACACTGCACTTATCAGAGTGAAGTGAATACTTTTTATTTTGTCATCATAATAAAAGACAACAAATAAAAAGTAACACTTAATACCTAAGGTCTAAAAATTTAAAAATTCATCAAAATATTTTTTGTGATTTGCAGGTTCACTGGGTGCAGAGGCAGCACAGTCATTACAGAAACAAACGCATTCCTGTGGCAAGATGGGATCACAGTGCCGCTAACAGTAAGTTTTGACTAAAACATTGTTGGTTTTTTAGCAGCAGCTCAACATCTTGCTGAAGAACAAATAAATTAATAAGTAAATAAACGGAAGTATAAGAAAAATAAGTAAACATGTTTGCAGAAACAGGCATGTGACATTTAATTGTGTGTACACCCTTTTATGTAAAATAATAACATTTTCCAGAAAGGTGTGAAAATAGGTGTTCTTTTAAAATCTAATCATTTTGGGGTTATTTTGTGACATCTTCAACAGAATATCTTGTTTATTTTGACCAAAATTTTGCTGTAATCAGCAAATTTTAGTTCATAACATCATGGACACTCATAATAGTAAACAAAAAGTCATGCAAAACAAAAATGAAACTGAAGAAGAGCACAAAATAAATGAATAAATTCTCACTAGAAAAAAACAAGAACTTTTCTGTTCTTGACAAAAATATCCTGTGTTCATGTGTGACCCCACCACTCATATTAAGAAGTTGATTCAGAAACTAGTTTTTCAGGGTTTGTGACCTCTCGCCTTACTGCAGTGGTGTAGAAGTGTGTCAGTAGGCTGTGACATCATTGTTGAATGTGGTTTGAAGAGGTGATTTTTGGTACACACATATTTCCATGTGAGTGAGGCAGATGCAGAACTGCAATTTCAACTAGTTTATCTACCGTTAGAACTATGTAGACTCATGCATCAACACTAAGTTCTTACTGTGCATGCATGAGAATCTAGCTGTATCCACAGAGGTTGGTGCTTCTGATTAAAAAAACGACTGAGAATTTGTGCTTGCAAATAGGACCCACCAAGATTTTCAGGTGTTCCGAATGTCATTATTTATATGTATAGCAAAAAATAAAACTGAGAGAGAAAAATATTACAAAGATGAATCCCTAGTGAATAAATTACCACATATACCGAGCTTTAAAAGTACTTGTGGTAAATACATTGTGGTTTTCACAGGTTTGGGAGAGCTGCCAACCAAATGCAACCTAGCAAATTAGTTTGCAATGTTTGAAACACACACACTTTCAAACTAGTACCAGAAGAGCTTTTTAGCACTTCGACTGTCCCACCTGCTTTGATAAATCTTCGATATTTATTTTCCTATTGTATTTAGCAGCTGTTATCAAGCAGGAGCAAGTATAATTTTATTATGTTAATGCTGTCCTCTTTTAGGATTGGCAGAGGAACATTTTACAAACCTATTGTGATCTGGAATACCATGTACTGGAATCAGGTGGTTAATTCTTGTCAGCACTCATTTCCCTCACAAATCAGTCCATGTTATTATTTTTTAGTTTGAGCATGTGAGGTTACATGTTGTCGCAATTGTTGGTGTCACTGTTGTACACAGAGTCCTTAACAGAGCTACAGCAGAATACACTTCTAAAATAAACTGACTACAGTGGAAAAACTACCAGTTAAATACTTTATATTTGCACCTATACTTTATACGTTATACTAAGTAGATACTTCAGTATTATTTACTAGCCACTGGTCATCTGGCCACATTAGTCTTGTGTCAGTGTGTGCCATTGTATTTCTACATGATGATCACATTTCTGCACATTTAAATTAAAATAGAATTTGAACTAATTTTGCAAAAAAAAGGTTTTTGTAAAGATAACATTTCACATTCATGTACACTATTACACAATTTAGTTATATTCTGAAATATAGCCACATGTTTTTTGCAATTATCCAAATCCTTCTCAGTTCAGGTTGAGTTTAAGAACTACACCCGAAAGGACTTATAGATATATTTAGTCATGCTGTGACAAGATATGACTAAGCTGATTGTTTCAACCATATGCATATGAGTGTGCAGGCCTCTGTGCTAGATGTTTCACTGTGCTTGTGTATATCCAAGTGTTTACAACATATGCTTATCAAAATGCCTTTGAGACATCATTGTGACCTTTCTGACAGTAAACCTCTCTGATGAAAGCAGCAACTGCAACCGAAGCTCTTTAATGCCTGTTTAATATTTACATCATATATTTGTATACCTGTAAGTCCACTCATACATACATGCATTATGTGTTATTATGTGTGGGTGTGTGGGGAAGTGGTGGCAGTGTTTGCAGAAGAATGTACTGGCTCACGTCTTGCTGCAGTGCTCTCTCTCTCTCCCTCTCTCTCTCTCTCTCTCTTTGTGTATTACCATCCTCACAGTGTCGCTCAGCTTCGACTCTGACAGATGATATAAAAGCGACAGAGAGAGAGAGAGAGAAAGAAACATGAAACAGCAAGAGAATGTCGGATGAACACTGCAGCTGTGTGCTTATTCACTTAAAGGAAAGAGAAAAAGAAACAGAGTATGCACTCGTACGTTTTGGCCAATGTGAACTTTTTAAGTCTAATGTTTCTCACAAGTATTTTTGGATTGACGCTGCCAATGTTCAATAAAGTGTGCCAGGATTTAATATCTCAAATATGACCATTTTCATGCCAAACAGTGATTCTTGGCCGAATGGAAAAGCCTCATTATGGGATCCTTAACTCTATTAAAGCACTTGATATGATTCGTAATGGCATGAAATGTTATAATGGTAAGCAAAATCCACAGTTTGGAAAAAAAAAAAAGAAAAAAAAAGAAAACAGAAAATAGCAGCTTCGCATTTATTTTGAAATGGAAATGTTGAACAGGGGTTCATTCGTCATAATTCTTCTTGGAAAAATGTAGGCAGTCAAATATGAGCATGTGGTGAGTAAGAAAAAAATAAGCAAATGTCACCACTTTGTCAGTAATGCTGCATCATTTTAAATCGCCCTGTTTCTAGTTTTTATGTTTCGCTAACCTAATCATGTCCAGGCTTCAGTTCCATTGTGAGTGCACAGACATCAGTGTAGTAGAAATCGCCTTATTTTATATCATCACACTCAGCCAGACAGAACAGATCCTGTCTCAAGTATACTCAGTCTCTCTCTCTCTCTCT